AAAATACTCCACTTAGTGAAATATTGGTCAGATTGTACAAATAATAAAATTATAAAATAAGTTATAATAATAATAAGTTTTTTTTATAAAATCAAGTGACGGGACGAACAAGCCCGACGTGTATGCGCCTGCCTATAACAGTTGCAGTGCCACTCAGAGCTTTAAATCGCAAAAATTTCAAGGGCACTGCCACTGCACCTGTCACCCTGAAACATAAATTGACTAGCCCCATGTGATTGTATTTTCACCAGCACCTTTACCCTTCAAAACCGGAATGCAATAATGGCCACATTGCTGCTTGGCGGCGGAAATTGGTAAGGTGGCATTACCTCTATACGAAATCTTCTTCTATAATCTTCAAAAGTGATACAATACTCGAATTTCATTCATTCATTTTAAGCCAAACCGTATGTATAGTTTAACAAAACATGCCAATGAGTAAGTAACTTAATGTAAGCATTTATTGTACACACACAATTCACATTTAAGAAAACGAAAACACAAGGTTCCACTTATATCTTAAAGAAGTTTGCTCAGACCTAAGTACAGGATACAATAACTAATAACACAAAAACAATAACATTAAATTATAAACTATATAAATACTTGGATAACTATATTTCATAAAACAATTACTAAGATGTGGATAATTACGCAACACTCATAACCCCGTCCTAGGAAACTCCTGTATCGCGGGTGCCATGGACACACATAGACAACCACAATTTACACCCAAACTCACGAGAGAAATAAATATAGGCCATACAATGCTCATTAACTCTCATTTTAAAAATAGCTAACGATTTACTTTCGCGAAGAATAAATAGGTAGTGCGTTCCAAAGTCCGACCACATGAATAGTGCAGTGGCGTAGCGTGCACCCCGCATAGGGGGCCATGGCTGACAGCATTGCAAAGCAAAGCAAATGGGGGCGGCGGCGAGCCTTAACTAGTCAAAATTATTACTTTTTACTTAAATCAGAAAATAAATTCCACTATTTGAGAAAACGATAACTACCCTCGTTTGCTTCTTAAGACGGGGTATTTCGCCGCGAGTTAAATTTTATAGGAGATGAGGTGTGGGGCGTCGCCCCTCGCGTCCCGCAATCCGCTACCGTAAACTAATATGATAAATATTTTTAGTAACAGTAGAGCTCCTTGTGAAAGAGTTCGTCGAAGGGAGTACTGCCACCTTACCTATTTCTGCCGCCAAGCAGTAACGTCTGCGTTACTGTGTTCCGGTTTTTGAGGGTAAGGGTGCTGGTGAAATTTCAGGCACAAGGGACTTGTCAACTTATGTCTCAGGGTGACGGATGCCCCTCAGATCTTTGCAATTTAAAGCTCTGAGTGGCACTGTAACTATTATGGACAGGTGTGTAGCTTACCATCAGGCGCACGACTTGTTCATCCCGTCACGATAAGAGAAATATGTATCTCCATATAAAAATTATGTGCTAACTTAGATATTAGGGGTTAAAGTATGAAATTGCCGTTTTATTGCAATAGGTTCTTTGAATTTTCATAGAATCTTCATGGTTTGAGGTTTTCGAATGAAACTTTTTTCAAATGGTTTCTGTGATTTTTTTTTTAATTTGAAACATTTGAATATCGACTTTCAATTGTTTTTGTTATTCAATTTAGACAAGAAAGTTGGATACTGCGAAAATTCGAGTGATTTTTGAATACGAGTTCCGACGCGGAACTAACGCGGCAGAAACAGCCCGCAATATCAATGCTGCGTTTGGAGAGGGGTCTACTAATGAACGCACCGTGCGATTTTGGTTTAAACGCTTTCGTGATGGAAATTTCGACTTAAAGAACGAGTCACGAGGAAGACCGCCCACACAGGTGAATAACGATGAATTAAGAGAGATAGTGGAAGCCGATCCTAGTCAAACTACCCAGGAATTAGCGGCATGGTTTAACGTTACCTTACCCACAATATTGACTCACTTGCGTCAAATCAATAAAATAAAAAAATACGAAAAATGGGTGCCTCATGATTTGACTGATCTGCAGAAAGAAACGCGTGTTGAAACTTGTGTTGCCTTGTTGAACCGGTACAGAAATGAAGGAATATTGGATCGAATTGTAACATGTGATGAAAAGTGGATTCTTTATGATAACCGGAAAAGAAAAATGCAATGGCTGACCCCAGGTCAAATGCCACAACAGTGTCCTAAAGCAAAACTTACCAATAAAAAGGTAATGGTAACTGTTTGGTGGTCTCAGCATGGTGTTATTCACTATAGTTTTCTCCGATCTGGTCAAGCAATAACGGCAGATGTCTATTGTGCCGAACTCCGAACCATGTTGACAAAACTAGCAGTAAAACAGCCCCGACTCATGAATCGATCTTCACCATTATTGCTCCACGACAACGCGAGACCTCACACAGCACGAGAAACCATTTTGACCCTTCAGGAACTGCAGTTAGAAACCATTCGTCATCCTCCGTATTCACCAGACCTTGCTCCAACGGACTACCATTTTTTTCGTGATTTGGACAATTATCTACGTGACAAGAAGTTTTCTTCCCAGGAGGCAGTACAAAATGCTTTCACACAGTTTGTGCAGTCTAGATCGTCGGAGTTCTATCGCAAATGCATGAATAACCTTCCCATTAGATGGCAGCAATGTATAGATAATAATGGCAACTATTTTGATTAAATAAATTTGTTAAAAATTTAAAAAATAAACAATTTAGATTTTCAGTACAAATCGGCAATTTCATACTTTAACCCCTATTATTTTATTCTCAAATAATTCGTTTTAGACTTTTATTTTACCCTTCTTTTCAAGATTTTATATGATCAGATAAAGTACTTCCTATCGTGTAACACATTAGCACACTCTTTAAACAATATCCTTAAGCGTGTGGCATATTTTTTGTAAGACCGTTATTTAATAGGAAATACCTATACCATTTTGATCTAGCAAAACAGTTTTTCCCGCTTCTCCTCCGGTGACTCGGAAATTCATATGCAGGATTGGGCACTATACTCACAATGTCACTTTCTAAAGTCTCATCCACACTAACTATTATTTTTATTTAGATTTATACAATGCTTTTAACAACATCAACATACCCTATTTTCACGTAATTTGATTTTGTAACACTATTTATAACAACATGACAACATGGTCCTGAAACAAATACATTACTTAACATCAAGTTCTAAACTGAATGTAAATCAAAGGGTAAACCCTTTGAACCATTATGTCTAATACTCTTGGGAAATTTATTATAACGACCTTTCATCGATGTAGATTATTTAAAGTTTATTAACAATATGTGGACGTTTAGTTATTACAATAAAAAAAGGTAATTATTTTATAATATCTTTCGAGTTCTTAGATTTTCGGGATCGTTACACATTGGAAATAAAACTATTTTTTCGTGTCTAAATCGCGTATATTTCTATTTTTAAACAAACGAACGTTACGGGTCCTTTACAGGTCCCATGGTCACGGCTAATATTAATGGAAAACAACCCTATTTTCCGCAATAGTTACAAAAATTATTACCTGCTTAAGTTTTAGTAGCAGTAGAGCTCCTTGTTAAAGTGTTTGTTCAGGGAAGTACTGCCACAATCATGTTAGAATAGTTCTTTGACGCTGTAGAAACAATTTTCCAGAAGCCATTTCTCATTTAGTTCGTCTAGAGAAGTACTGTCACACACCGATTTCTGACGCAGTAATGAAAGCATTAGTACGTTCCAGTTTTGAAGGATAAGGGTGCTGGTGAAATTACAGACACATAGGATTTGTTACCTTATATCTCATGGTGATGGGCGCAGTGGCAGTGCCTGACCCCTGAAGATGCAGTTTTTAAGCTTGACTTCGAAGGCGGATCCTCTAACATTGGACAGACTAGTCGCGTCAAAGAACATTATAGCTGGCAATGAAACTATTTCTCCGGATTTAAATCGCGTATATTTATTTTTTCAAACAAACCAAGGACCGAACCAAACAAAGCAAAAACAAGAAACAAACACATACTTGTTTTTGTTTTATAATTTGTTTTTTCAAATAAACATTTGTTTGAAAAAAAAAACAAATATACGCGATTTAAATCAGAAAAAATAGCTCCGTTTCTTCTATATGCAACAATCACCGAAACCTAAGAACTCGATATTGTCTATAAAAAGTCTAATGAGTTAAGGAACTGGGATTTTTACACTAGACTATAAATCTTGAATAGTTAGATTATCAAAAGTAGCCACGTAGAATTTGCATGTAGCGTTTCGCTCCCATAATATAAGGCGAACGGTTATGGATTGGAAATCCCTGTGCGAGGCGAGAGTAAATAGGCATTACTCAAGTGCGTATTCTCCATCGTCGACCTCATCGTCACTGTCCATCAGTTGAGAAGGAGGTCAAATGCGCACTTATTTTTTAATTTTAAAACGTACTTATATCTACATATATATAAATGTATTTTATTTTCCAATTTTATGGTTAATCTGTTTATTTTCGGTATGGTCGGTATAAACACTATCGGCTGTTATAATTTTTCAGCTTTCAATTGCAACGTTTGCTTAGTACATATATTGTACATTTTCTTAAACAAATTTAAAGAGAACTAAATTAGTTTACGTAATCATTAAAAATTTAAATATAGAATAAACGCCAACATTGTAATACCTAAACGCCAATATTTTAGAAGTAACATATTACAGGGCAATATTAAACAGATGTTACCGCCTGTGAACGCAATATCTAAACTGACTTCCTTAGTGTTAGGAACAAAAGCCCCATTTATGACTTTACTACAGCCTATTACGATTAGTTAATATTGTAAACGAGCACAGAATGTGCTTATACAGCTTTAACGACGTAAAACAAGTAAGTATTTAAATAAATAACGTATACAGTATCCATTTCCATTTGATACGATTTTAATATCCACTTCTGCGAAAAAGTACCTACCATTTTACGTAAGACTTAAGTAAATATTCTTTGGAAATATTGAAAGTAATGGATTTATATTTTGTTTCAGATACAGCGATGATTTGAATTGTTGAAGGTAAGTCTTTCTTTTATTTATCTTCCTTTATCTAAATAGGTCTTACTCCGGTTCGATTCCCGGGCCGAGAGAAATGTTTGTGTGGCTTACATTTATTTCTCTCGTGAGTTTGAGTGTAATTTGTGGTTGTCCATGTGTGTGTCCCGCGACACAGGGTTTCCCTAGTGCATGGCTATGAGTGTGCGCATTATTATTATTATTAAACATTTACTTGCAAGTTGTAAAACAGATGGTCCAGGGAAGTACTGCCACCTTGCCTATTTCCTGCAAGCAGTGCCTAATGTGAGCATCAGTGAGTTCCGATTTTGAAGGGTAAATGCGCCCTTACACGTGGAGAAAGTTTTCGCGCAGGACTGCCCAGTTACCACGCCTTCATGTACATTAATGGCGAATCTGAATTCTATTTACTAGGCAACAACATTTCAATTTCTCTGAATAATAAATCCGCGTGGTCGCCGCGCGAGGTGCCGCGTACACCAAATTCAAGGCAGGCTCGCCCGCGTGTCCGGCACGCTTACGACAGTTAGACGCACACGATCGCTGTGCGGCGGCAACGCGGACTCCACTCGGCGAGCGCGCGGCGGCCGTGCAGGGTGAGCGCGATGAAATTTGTGACTTGTCAACTTATATCTCAGGATGAGGAGTGCAGTGGCAGTGCTCCTCATATATTTGCGATTTAAAGCTCTGAGTGGCACTGCAACTGCTATGGACAAGCGTGTCGCTTACCACCGGGAGCACGACTTGTTCGTTGAAAATTACTAAATTACTCTCAGTAAATCAGTAATTCCGAAAGTGATCGACCCCAGGGGTCTACTCTGCGGGAAAAATATTGGGAGGGCATGACACGTTATTGTGGATCCATGAGAGTGCAACCCATTTAAGCAGGTCGTGGTCAAAATATTGACACACACTTTGTTGGTAGGTCAATAATATACACCGGAAAATCAACATGGCACAGATACCAGATACCTTCATAGTAAGTACATACTTATAATACTTTCTCATTATAAGTCACCTATGAACTAAAGATTTCACAGTTCAGTTCAATAAAACAAGTTTTTCTTTATAAAGTTTCTCACTACACATTTAACTTATCAGAGTGAGTAGTACTGTGTCAGCTGTCAAAATTAAAAAGAAAAAACAAAAAATCCATATTAGAAAGGCAGAGGGTCTACGCAAAACAGAACAAAAATGGTACGTGGTCTCCGTGACAAAAAAGTCTGGGAATCTCTATTCTAAATGAAGCATCTTTCTAAATAAATGTTTTTTTTTTAATGTATTCTATGTATTTAAACCTAAAAGGACCAAGATGTGATAATTTTTAATTATTATTAGAAAAATTATGTTCACGAGACCAATTATACATTTACATTGATTTAAACTTTCACGATTTTCACACATAATCTAATTTTTAGTTCGGGACTTAATCATTTAAAAAAACATATTTTCATTATCTCGACATTTCGGACGTATTGCAACTCAATAGTCTTGAAGGGACTAACCTTCGGAGACCACGAATGTTGCAATAATTAACCCTTGTAATTTCGGTCCATCGACGGACATTGGACATACAGCCAAACCGCATGGGATCCCTAGACGTGGACTGTGTACCAACGCTAAGTGCTAGTCAAAGCTAAAACTAAATCACACGGTCGAACAAACATTAATACTATTAACGTAGCCTGTATACTGTAGGCTAACCAAGCGGAAATGTGCGTAATTTAATTATTAAGACATAATGTATTTATAGTTCATTTGAATGAACCTGTTTACTCCAAAATTTATTATGAGCCTAATTTTTTTTTTTATGATAACAAGTGGGGAGACGAACACGTCATACGCCTGGTGCCAAGCGCCACACCTGTCCATAGCAGGTTGCACTGACACCGCGCCCATCACCCCAATACCGTCGAGTATATAATCAGAAACAGAGACAAAATAAGGACCATCCATCCCTGACAACTCATCAGGCAAATGGGCATTATATAATCTTTAAATATCAACTCTTGTTTGCGCTGAAATCATAAATTAGAAAACTGAAATAGAACAACGCCAACAACTGACATTCCAAAAATTTTTAATTTTCGTCCATTATAGCAAAGCTCAAGTTAAACTGGTCGTTTTGAAGTAAAACAATTGACGACACCCGTCAATTGTTTCTAATTCAGTCTGGCCAATCGGAGCGCAGTTGTTACCGTAATGATTTGGCAGAATAGCTTTCAAACGAATTAAATGACATTTCGTCTC